TATATATATATATATGCTAAAGACACTTTCAGAGTAAGCATGCTTCTTTTAGCTTAACTAACAAAACACAAAAAACCTGTCTAAATTCCCAAACCAGACATAGGTGCTACTTTAGGTTTATGAATTATTCTGGGATATGAAAATATGCATGTGTGGAAAGTACAACAGAAAACAGAAGAAGAGAGGAAACACAGCACTGCCTCTCTTTCCAGTAATTCAAGCAAGAATCTTTTCATGATTGCATCTCCAGGAGTATCAATACCTGACAGTGAAAAGATACAAAAATAATGAGGCAAAAGGCTTTAATACTGTAATATGAGTCTAGTTTCCTAACACCAGACAAGTGTCACAAATATGGTGGTAGTTAAGGAGGCAAAAATAAATGTACTTAATAATAAAAGGTAACTTACACAAACAAAGTTAAAGTTTGACAAATCCAAAAAGACACAAGCTGAATATAGTTTAACTAAATAAATATAAAAAAACCCATAAAGGTAAACAAATCATCTTCTTACCGCATGAACAAATTTCATAAAAAATGTACTTCTATTCACACAAACCTCTCATAGTGCGATATCCAGGAGTTGGCCGTAAAGGGCAATGCATCTCAGTGAACTTCTGTCAAAATCAGTCAGCAATGAGAGGAGAGACTGATGTTTATTTCTACATGTTTGATATATGGAGACTTAAAAACGTACAATATAAGAGAATAACAGAGTGGAAAACCATATTCTGTCAAAACTTCAACAATATCTCCAAAATAAATGATGGAGCCAAATCAGTCATTTAAAAGCATCAAAGAAATCATTCATGAAATGTGTTGGCTAAAAGTGTGCATAAAATCTTCAACTGTCTCACATTCCTGAAGCGGTGTTAGACTGTACATGGAAATATGCTTACTGCAATATGTACTGGTCTATTTTATATACAGTCACAAATGTCAATTTAAAATTTCAAATATATACACATATAAGGAGCCTGAGGGAAAACGTGTTTATTCTCGACTCCTTGGTGCCAAAAATTGATTGAAAATTGATTTATTCACTGCATGTTTATGTCTGTTTCCTATTTATGGAAAGTTCCTGTTTATATCTATGGTTTGTGATGCATTTCTATCCTAAAGACAAAGATATAAAACTTTAGATACTTCACAAAGAGATAATAGCATACATAGAAAAACCTCCTTCAACACCTAAACCTTATGAAAGCCTCATATTAGAGCAGAAAGTACGACGGCCACCATAAGAAAAGTTTACAGTGTTCAATTATGCAGCATGAACTGATCAGCACATTATTGAGACAGAACAAAAAAGTTTTGGAAGGAAACGCTAAAGAAAAATAAATCCTCCATTTATTTACCAGATTCACTCTGGTAAAACTAAACACATGTTTGAGATCAGCAACCTTGGTCCATCACTATAAAAAGAGGTTAATTACAGGTTTAAAGATCTCCTAGTGAAGTAAACCACATCCTTTATAAACCACAACAAATCTTCAGTTGTTGACTCCAGAAAGAATGAAAAACAATGGAGGCACCATATGTAAGTGGAAACTTAAAGACAATCTAATAGATCATAAACTATGATCTATTAAATCATAGTTTAATAATGTCTTCTGGTAGCTGAAGCTTCCAGAAATATCAGAGATAAGGGGCAGAGAGAGATATTTACAAACCGCTGCGACACGCCTAACGCCACATCAGTTCACCTCAATAAGAAATAAGATCAGGGTTTCTGTCCCCAGTAAGACAGGGGGCAGAAAAACAACAAAGACAAAAATAAGTACCAAGTCTGGACATGATGATTCCACAAAGAAAATAACAGAAATTACTTATTTATGTACATAAATGTTGCTTTTTTAAACTTTATATTGCTATATTTTTCAGTCAGGAAACCAGCTAAAGGAAACAAATATCAGAACTTTTGAAGATACAAGATTGACAAGTAACCTACAAGCTGCAAGCCCAGAGAGATCAACTTCACCGTGGCACATGTGGAGCTGCAGACTCACCAGAGATGCAGAGGTGGAATCGACACAGTTCATCGCACAGCGTGTCTGGACTCTCCAGCTCCCCCGGTCCTCCTCTTCCTCCTTCTCTCCTCTTCTTTCTGGGTGACATCCTCTTCACCATCTTCATTACACGTTCCACTTTATCCATCCTGGACAACTAAGTTTCCCCAAGTACCTCCAGATGTCTTTAGATCCTCTTCTCTCCCTCTTCTTGTTTGTCTTTCTCTCTTTCGTCCCTTCTGTTAGCTATAATAATGTCTTGTCTTCACTAGTTTCTTCTCTTTCCTCTTATGCATTACCTAAATCCTTTCTCTACCTTTTCCTTGTTCTTCTTTCTCTCCACAGTCCAGCGTTTTAAGTTTTACCTCTTGTTCCACTAGTGTCCGATTTTACATCCCTCTCATCTAGACTCTTGATCTTTGTTTACCTTTTCTTCTCTCTGCTTACAGAAAATCTGAAGATCGAAATGATGAGAGAAGTGATACTGAGAGAAACGAATGAAAAGAGGGAGAGGAAGAGGCTGCACATTCACTCACGCACCTCCTTCCCTTTCCCTCTCTCTCTCTGCACCTCCCCACTGCATAAGTACATCCAGCTACCAAAACTCCCTGGCAGAGCTGAGCTTTGTTCAGTCTTTCCCAAAGGGTGTGGGTACGCGTGTGTGCATATATATATATATATATATATATATATATATATATATATATATATATATATATATCCAACATGAATCTATCCAACATGTTTTTCTGGATGCTCTTTTGTTGTTGTGAATGCCTTTATTTGACCAGAACTGTTTTTGGTTCCCTCGTTGTTTTTCCTGCTCCCTTCCTGTTCCTGGATCCCTGCACTCATGTACAAACAGTCTACAAAATCCAGTGAAATGAGTCGGATTCTCCGCCACCATTTTTCATCTTTTCTGCAGCAACAGATTCTCCTCAACGGCTGCTGACGACTTTCACTTTGAAATGGTAATGACACCTCAACCTTTGGGAAGAAAAATCCTAGATTGTAGTTGCAATTCTACAGAATTGCAACTACAATCTAGGAGCCAAAGCAGAGCTGCAGAAATGTTCATCTTTAAACCTATTCTACAAAGTAAGAAAAAAGAAACACGATCATAAGAAACTGCTTAATATTATACATTAAGACTCATTTCATGGTTTTTAATAGAGCAACAGTTCTGCTCCATCTGACTTTTAAATTTAAAAATAGTTTAATTTTATTATGCCAGTTTCAAAACAAAAATGATCTCAGTTCACTGCCCAAATGAAAGTATAAAATTAATTTTAACTAACCACATTTTGGTTCAATGTAATTATAAACCACATACAGTTAGTTTATAAATGACAACTTTTTGGCAACATGGGAAGGAAATAAAAACACAAAGACGAATAAAGCATTGTAAACATATGCACTAATACACAGGAGTAAAGAAAAGTGGCCAGACTACAGTAGTCTAAGCCTTGAGTTTAACAGGGATTTCTGCCTGGCTTAAATAGTGTTAAGCCTCCTGCCGCACTAATGTGATTCAGCCTTTTGTTTCAAAGGAATTAGAAAACGATCCCTTAGCAAAATATTACGTCCATATCATCTTCCTATGCATTCAGTTATGTAGCATACATGATTAGGCAAGGCTGAGCAAAGAGACATGTCAGCCTTTTTGACATGTCCCTTGTTTCCCACAACAAGCCTGTAAATCACACATGCTGCAGCACATCTGTATCTGGTACAGATGCAACATATGTTCAAATATTGCAGCAAGAATCCAATAATCTTACTTAACCTTCACTGCTATGGTATGCAGGCACTTCATTGCATGATGTGATTTCCATTTTTTTGACTAATAATTACCTACTGAGCTTTTTGTGGCACTCTTACTGCACTGCATTGTCATTTCCAGTCAGTTATGCCTTTAATATTCAGAAATGCATTGAGACAGTGACGTCAGAACAAAGGTAATATATTCTGTCCTCACAGTCGAATCCCAAACAGTTGATCTTAAAATGCATGTGGGCATTGAAAAACATCAAGGGTGACATACTTTAAAACATGCATCGAGTTTCCTCACGTTCCAACCAAAACACTGTTAAAAATACACCAGAATACCTGAAAGACAGGAAAGTGTGCAGGCATCTAAAAGTAAAGAGCCATTCTGCATGCTGAATTTATTTTGGGAGCCTGATAGATGGAGCCTTTCTGCAACATTTTGAAATTGGAAAGCTCTTGAACTCAAACAGAAAGTTTACTTCACAGAAAGTTTTGCAGTGGTTGAGAAAGATAATTTGTTTCAAAATGTGATCAATTGGACATTTTTAGGACCAGGTTGTTTTCTCATCTCTTCGTAGCTCCGTCTCATTTGCCCCCCGGTTTTCTCTTATTTTGTCCTTCTGTTTTCTCCGTCTCCCTGCCCGTTCTCTTCTCCTGTTTAATCTCTGGTTCATGTCCCTCCATAATCAGCTCACCATTATCTCTGCAGGAAGGGACATGGGCACACACAGCACTGTGTAATGTTTCAGCAGGTAGGGATGCAAAGTGAACATTTCAGCTTAGCTGTCTTGCATACAAAATTGCACGTTCTCACACAGAGAGCACCTTGTATTTTGCCGACTCGACCTTTTGCAGCCACATGCAAACACAGTTTGAAACTGAGGATATGAACGCAGGAAGCATCGCTAGAACTCACCCTAGAGATTTAAGATATGCCTTTTAATCACCAACCTGAAATGAGCTGTGGGTGTACTTTGATCCTTGGTGAAGTTTTTAGTGACTGAAGGTGTGAGACCACAAAAAAATGGATTCCTAAGTGTGGGATGGTGAGAGCCACTCCATGGCAGTCATTAAACATTCTGTGTGCCATGAGTCAGCTGCTCTGGAAAACCTTTGAGGACATAATTAACCAGCAGATTGCTTCATTAATAGAAACCACATTCACTTTGATGTAAATACAGCTTAGTTCACATACTGTAAACAAAACTTATTCTCAAGGCATGAAATAAGTGTAGAAAACTGAAAGTTTCCTTTGCAGAAGGACTTTGCAACAGAAAGGCTAACAAAAAATCTTTTTTAAAAGCCATTACATTTGGAAATGATTTACATTTGGAAATGATTTAATGAGAAAAAACAGAATGTGAAGGTTCCCACAGCAGGTTTGTTTTCTATAAAAAAGCTGGTAGTTTTTTTCTGATCTGTTACTCTGCATTTTATGTAGCTTCAAGGGAATCGACTCTAAATTGTTTTCCCCTCATAGTGATACTTTAAAGGTCACAAAAATATGAAAGTATGTTCCATCCACTACTTAGTGCGGTGCTGGTTGAAAAGGTGACACCCACATCATTCAAACAAGAGCAGGATGCTGTAATGATTCACATCCAGGTGCAAACAAGCAGAAAAAAACACTTCAGTCATCAGCAATAAGTAAAGGCTCCTTAAAGTTAACCAAACACAGACCCAAGATAAAAGCATAAAAATGTGGTTATAATGATGCCTTCTTTAGCTATGGACTTTAGTTAAATGATCTCCTCACAGAATACACAGAATAATGTAATTACATCTCATCTACTTTCATTTAGAGGGTGATAAGTTAATGCATTTACTTTCTGGTAAGAACCATAAAAGAAAATAACGAAATAACGACACTTTCTAAAAGTCTGCACATCAAAGTAATACAAGAATGGTTGATAATGGTGATTTGCAGGAGCTTGAAAGCCCACCTGCTGTTTTTAATCAGAATGAAAATCAGAATGAAAGTGGAGGAAAGGTGCTGGAGAGCAAGCGTTGGAAATACAGAAAGCCAACAGGTTCACAGTTTATGCACAAAGAAACATGTTGCAGCATCTAAAACTGCTGGTGCATGAGTTAAAAGGTATTTTATTAAAATAATACTTTAATTTGGGGGAGTTATTTAGTTCTCCATTGTATTTTGTATGAAGTTGTAGGTACATTAGGTACATTGCTTTAGGTATCATTTTTTTAATTTAGTTTTTTTCACGTTTTGTACTCAACAATACAGTTAGTTTTTCCAGCACATCTGATCTTTCTTTGGATTTTAATTCCCTCCATTCAGCCGGTTTCCTCTGCTGCTTTCTAAGTCCTCGGTTTTCTGTTATGTTGATGTTTCAGTAACCTAAATATGTTCTTATAAAGTGTTTGTATGAAAGTTACTTCTTCTGACAGTAAGTAATACTCTCATGTGGGATTAGCATGACACTACAAACGATCATTTCCTAGAAGTATTTTATACATAAACTAAATTTTATAAATTCTTAAGAATTAGAGCAAAACTGAACTCAAACTGGGTGTGAAAAGGAGGCCAGCTTCAGACAGGCAGTGAAAACAGTTCAGATTTCCTTCAGTTCTGTAGGAGTCAGAAAGACAGAAATAGATTCAGTTCAGCTTGTGGCTTTGTCAGCAGATTCCAGTTTCTCCTGACGACTGTTTATGAATAAACTGTCATCAATAATTACCAAGTTCTGACAGCCACATTGGCCAACACACATTTTTCATCTTTTCATGCCTTTTATACTAAAAATACATAGTTAGTCAAAGTCTGTGACCGTATGTGTTCATTATCAGGATGATGACAAGAAGAGCTCTAAGATCCAACCGGAAACATGCAAACGACACGTTTCCACAAAGTGCTTCCAAAGTCAGCAACGACGTCCAGGAGGACCAACTACCTGCAGCTACGACTTGAGACAGAATTTGCTGTGAATTGCCAGTACATGAACAAATTGAACAGCATTGAATAAAATTAACAAGGTGTTGATTACTGTAATCCCATCAGAGATTTTCCCACTGGTTCTTCAGATGGGCATAAAAAACTTTCAGCGTTCCATTACGCAATAATATGTAGATAAAAATAATTTAGATTTAATTATTTTACTTTAATAATCTAAGATGTACATTGTTGAACTGAGGAAAACAATAATATCAAACCAACAGTACCAAAACATGTTTTATTTTGTTTGCTCTTTATGCGATTTTCTTATTTTTAATCAGAACCGTTTCTCAGACAGGTGTGTGGATCCCTGATCATGTCTGCAGGCTCCATCTGGATGTGTTCTGGTGATTTCTTCATGTCCAACGTGGATGTTGTGCTTAATGGTAAACTAAGTATCACGTGAATACATTACATAAAAAGCTGACTTGTAAACACCCTTTGTCATTACTTGGCATTGTGGAAAGTGCATTAGGCTCCTGGCTGTGTCTGACTCTCCTACAAACAGCTTCTTCAGTCTTGAGCTGTAAGTGGCCGTTTCAGTGTATTGCTGTGAGCGCTACGCTTGCCGGCCATTAATAAGAAATATTAGGGTCAGGAATTAATTTCTATAACATGGAGGAGATGGGAGTTGTGTTTCACTTGTGCTTTGCTGAGTGCAGCGCTGAGCTGTTGCAGACAGCTCTAATAACAAAAATGGATTTTAGAGCACAGGGGGGCTGGTGCCACGTTCAGTGTGTGAGCTCCAGGCGCTTAATGACCAAGTTAAT